TTTGAAAAAAAAAAAATTTTCTTCAAATATAAATTTCTTCTTTCCCTCCCCCTCCCCACACACTCTCTTCTAATTCCTGTCGTTTTGTACCTTTTTTTTTTCTTTTTCTTTCATTTCTTTTTGTTTAGGATAAGAATAATGGGAAAAAAAGTAGGAAAATCTTAGTTAAACCTTTTCGAGGTTGTCTTGATGAAATATAAACAAATAAAATATTTATCATTCTTTTTAGTTGTCAACTAATAAGTTAAATAAGCCGAGGAATTTGTTTTTTTTTGCGTGTGACGTTACACACGCACGCACGCACTCACGCATTTGGTAAACCTTAAAAAATTTTCACGAAAATGTCTTTTTTATTTCACGTTGTGATGCAAAAAAAAAATAAACGACGACAAGACACGACAAAAAAAATGAAGGATGATGATAATGATGATGATGATGATGATGATGATATTTCTTATTTATTTATATTTAAAATAATAATAATAATAAATTCGCGTTTAAAAATAAATAAAAAGAAAATTTTTTTTTAGGCTTAGGTTAACGAATTTGTTATAATAATAATAATAATTTTATAAATTTACGTGTCGCACCTTCAATCACCGCGAAAAATAATAATAATAATAATAATAATAATAATAATAATAATAATAATAATAATAAAATGAAAAATACTTTTTACCATTTGGAAAATGGTAGGTGTAGGAAAATAGAAAAATTATAAATTAATAACTCGCTCAAGGAAATGATTGTAAATCACGTGGACCCTTTTGTATTAGTAATGCGATTGCGGTTTTCCAAAAAAAAAAATTTTCCCCATCAGAAAACGAGGAAAAATAATATTTTAAAATTTCACGGGGAAAATTTTAAAATATTTTTTTTACGTGTGAGTGTGTGCGTGCGTGTGCGTTTGTTAGGTATATATTTGGTTTTAGAATCGAGGTGTCAAAAATAAAAACATTTTTCCTGTTGTTCCCCCTCCTCCCTCTCCTCCTGTTGTTGTTATTGTAATAATTTTTTTTTTTGTTACTGTTGATTTAAATGAGGGAAATTTCGTTTCGTTAAATTTTCTTTTTTTTTAGAAAAAAATTAAAAAATTGTTGGAAAAAAAAAAAACAGGAAACAGGGATTCGACAAAAGTAACTTTAGAAACATTATCATGGGAATAAGTTTTTATCTTTCTAGTTGAGAAAAAAAAAATAATAAAGAGGAAAAACAAAAAAAAAAAAAAAAAAAAACAAGTCGAAAGCGGTTGTTTTTAAATAAAAGAAAATAATAAAAAAAAAAAAAACGATAATAATAATAATAAAAAAAGTACATCCACTAGATAACTTTGTTTGTTGAATGTGAAATTATGCGAAATGGCATGGAAAAAAAAAAAAAAAACACTTCAAAACGTGCTCGAAATGTCAAAAAAAGATTGCTGGCATTTTCAACTACAATAACAAAATGAAATAATAAAAAAAAAAAAAATCGCCTTTGCAAAATGAAATTTCCCACCTCCCTCCCCCTTCCCCCTCCCCAACTTATTTTTCCTTCTTTAAATTAAATGAAATTTTTCCTCATTTTCCCTCCCTCACTTAGGCAAAATTCCTTTTTTATTTTAAAATTATTTTCCTTAATTTCATAATTTAAGATTTTTTGGAAAATCGAACCGGAAAAACCCGATAATATTAACATACGCACATGTTAATATATATAATTTGATAATAGGAAGGTTTTGTAGTCATAGAGAAAATAAACGCTCTGTTCTCTTTTCCTTTTTTACGTTTTTCTCTTTCTTCTCTCGTCATTTGTTTTTTATTTCTATGTATTGGTGTTTTCCTCTCTCTCTCTCTCTCTCTCTATCTCTCTCTTAGTCTTTTAACATCAAAAGATTTTTAATTAATAATAATAATAATAATAATAATTTAATCATCTAATTACTTTCTTTATTTCGTATCAATGTTAATTAATTAATTATTATACATTTTCATCTTTTTTTTTTTTTTGTTGGTTGACTTATGTTTTTCGTATGGAAAACCGCGGCGAAACCCTCAATTTACAAAAAAAAAAAAAATTTAAATTTAAATTTAACGGAATTCGAAAACGGTAAAAATGGCGTCGAAAACTTTTTACCTTTTCTTTTTTTCTTTCTTTTTGGGAAAAAGCGTAGGAAATTTCAATTACACAAATAAAATTCGATAATTATTATTATTATTTTTTTTTTATTTTATATTTAATTTCGAATTTATTAATTAAAAAAAAAACGAGGGGGAGGGGGAATTTACTAAAAAGAAAGAAAGAAAAAAAAAAGAGCAAAATAAAATTGTTTTTTTCCGGTAACGTTAACAAAAAAAAATTTTTTCTTCTATTTGAGTTTATTTTTATTATAATAATAATAATAATGATAAAAACTTTTAAATAATTAATTTTTTGAAATTCGTTTTAATAATAATAATAATAATAATAAAATATTAAGAAACTTTAGTTGTTTGTATTAAAAAAAAAAAATTTAAAGAAAAACTGAATTATTTGAATATGGATTAAGAACTTTTAATTGAAAGGGGTAGAAAGAAGGTAGAAAGAGGGGAGGAAAAAAGCAGAAGAAAAAAATAAAATTTCTTCCCCCTCCCGTCTTTTTCACCTCGAAAACATTTTCGAAATTTTAATCCTAATTTTTTTTTTTTAGAAATTTTTCTCCCCGAATCGAAATATTTTTCAATTATTATTATTATTATTATTTTCATCGATTTCAAAACGGAATAATATTATTATTATTAATAACTTTCTATTAGAAAAAAAAAAAAAAAATTTAACAAAAGAAAAAAGAAATTTCAAAAAAAAAAAAAAATTATAATAAGTAAACCGTTGTTTGTTTGATTGACTCCCACGTAAACAATAACAAAATTCAAAATGGCGCAGACCCACATTATTATAATTGTTTTTTTTTTTTTTTTTCATTCGTTTGTTTCTACTCACGAATAAAAAAAAAAAATGAATAAAATTTTACTTGAAATATTTTTTTGACACGGTTAAATAAGTTAATAATTTTTTATCGTTTCATTGTTTTATTTTGCTTATTATTTTAAAAAAAAGGAAAAAGAAAAGAAATTTGTCGTTTTCTTTTTTTTTTTAAATTCGTTTTTTACCGTTAGTTAGTTACGATTATTATCGATAGAATGAGTGAGTGAGAGAGAGAAAACAAAAGAAATTTTAAGAGAAGGCGGTGAAAATAATTATTAATAACCGTTTTTTTTCTTCCGTTTACGATTAAACACACACACACGTTTTAAAATTCTTTATTTTTTTTTTTTATAAAATTTTTTGTTGTTTAATTAGAAAACGAAAAGAAAAAAAAGAAATTAATTAATTAATTAATTAATTAATTGTTCATGTTCTCTTATGTCCTACAAAAAAAAAAAAAAAAAGAAAGAAAGAAAAGTTTTCATTTTATTTAACCCATGGGAAAATTTCACGGTATCAAAAAACAACCGAAAATTTTTAAAATGAGTTAAAATAAGAGAAAAAGAGAAAAAGAGAGAGAGAGAGAGAGAGAAAAGGGAAAATGAATTTTGAATGTTAAAAAACAAAAAAAAAGGGGAGGAAAAAGATTAAAAAGTTTTTTTTTTTTTTTCTTTTTTTGCTTTTTACTAATTAAAATTAAATTTTAAATTTCAAATGGTGCAAATAATAAAAAAATATTAAAACGAACGAACGCCATTTTTTTTCTCTCTCTCTCTCTCTCTTTTTTTTCCGTTTGTTTGCTCGAGGTAAGTAAAAACAAGTATTTTTGTGCAAACTTTAACTAATATAAATAATAATAATAATAATAATAATAAATTCACTTTCAGCAAATTTTTCTTTAATTAAAAAAAAAAAAAAAAAATTCGTAATATCAAAAAAAATTTGTTTAATATAAAACGTCGCCATTTTTTTTTTTTTTTTAATATATATTGCAATCGTTAACTATTTTCAACTTTTTTTTTTATTATTATTATTTTTTATTTTATTTTATTTAACGTGTATTTCATTTTAATTAAGCTCGAATTTCTCGTCCTTTTCTTCTTTTTTTTTTTTCTTTTTTTTATTATTAATCTTTTGGGACGAATTTTGTCTTATTTTCAACATTAAACGCGGCGGGAAAAGAAAAAAAAACCCGTTAATTACACGTGTTTGTCACGTGAATTATTTTTCCCAACCGATTTCATTTTCTTTTTTTTTCCTCCCCTTTTTCAAATATAATAATAAGTAAAATTCATCGGTAAATTTTTTTAAGATAACAAAGAATTTCCGTTTAACACTAATGCCACGACTTTTTTTTGTTATTTCAACGTTCGTTAGAGATTCAATTAACTGTAAATATTTTACGTGACACTTTTTTTGTTTTATTTTTTTTTTTTTTAAACATTTATCTTCGATAAAGGAGGAAATTAAACAATTTGTAATGATTATTTTCTTTTTTTTAAAACAAAAACCGCAACAACAAACAACAAACAAGAAAAAAAAATGAGATTTCAGGAACGATTCGGAATTGCGAAACCTTTTTCTTGCCTTTTTTTTTAAATAACCTTACGTAATGTCTTTGTCGACGTCGTTTTAATTTAATTAAATCAAGTTTTTTTTTTTTTATATAAAATTAAACAAAACAAACAACAATTGAAACGAGTACAATAAGGACGGTTAGGAGAAAAGAAAACAACCGCGAAGTATAAAAAAAAAAAATCGAGTCATGTCGGATGGTAAACTCTGATAAAAGTTAATCCGAAGAAGAAATTAAAAGTTAAACGTGTATTAATTAAAAACGAAGAGGTTGGGGGGCAGAGAGGGGAGGGAGAGGGGAGGGAAAGAAAAAAACAAATTTTTTATATCATGGCGTCGGATGATGATGATGACGATGCAGTTATTTAAGTTAAAAAAAGGAGAAAAGAAAAAGTTAACGCGTAATATAATATAAGCATATATCAATTAACAGTTTAGACAACATAATAAAAAAAAAAAAAAAAAACTTTTACTACACCTGGAGGACACGATTAATACGATTGGGAAACTGGGTTGGTTGACTTTTTTTATTTTACGGGTCAAATTTAACTCGGATTATTTAACAACCTAGTTTGACTAGTGCCAACTTTACAAATTTTTATAAAATAAAAATGACCCAAAATGTAAATAAATTTATTACTTTTGCTATGTTTGCAAAAAATTAAATAAAATTTGCTACTATTGGGTATCTCGTAAAAAAAAATTTTTTTTTTGTTCAGCCGGTAAAAAATATTGTTCAGGTTTGATGGAAAAAATTTTTTAAATGAGAATCTTCTCTCTCTCTCTCTCTCTCTTTCACACGCCAAAGTTTATAATCGAATGAAAAAAAAAATTTTTTTCAACGGAAAATATTAAAATAATTTTTAAACTTTTTTTTTTTTTTTACCTTTATTACACGAGTAAGTAAAGAAAATTTTTTTTTTTTTTTAAATCAAAAAAATTTCCCTTTTTCCCTCCCTCCTCCCCCCGCCCGTCTTTTCTTTTCCTTAAAAGAAAAAGTTTAAAATTAACTTTTTTTTTTTTTTTTTTATTTAAAGTTAAAAAGCTTTAAATGTTTTTCCTCTCTCCTCCACCTCCATCCTCATCTCCTTTTTCATCTTTTTAACGTATAAACTAAAGTTTAAAACGATCGGGTTTTCTCTCTCTCTCTCTCTCTCT